CCACCCCTAAGTGGACATGTCTTAACATATTGATCACTTACCAGGCGCTGCTCCCGCTGAATAGGGATGCCAGCAGCTAAGCCAGGTTGCCACGGGCAGCTTTCATTCATTTTGCTGACTCTGACCGAAATCCTGGAGTGTCCATCTCACAACTATCGCTGCACACTTTAGCAGGCTTCCCACTGATCTTCTGATCGAAGTCACACGACAGGAGCGAGCAGCACTACTGTCTAGAGCAGAAATAAGGTAGCTCAGGCCAATACTCCAAAAACGACTTGAACTTTCGCCTCAAGCAGGATCCCCTGTAGATACGCTAGACCATATCTTCCTCGCTGAATAAAAAAGTAAATTGATTAGGTTAAACCTCATTCATAAAAATATCAGGAAAATTTTGGAACCTGACAAACTGGCAGGACCACAACTAGCAGCAGGCTACAAAAATCCTTTTGATTTACATTTTCTTCGCGGCACACTCACAATTGCGTCACCCTTTCGTCAATGCAGCTGTCTGTGCTCTGTCTGCTGGAACCTCTTCCCAGATTTTCGGCTGTGGAGTCTATTCAGGAATCTGTTAGGCATCAGCTATTTCCTGATCACTCCGTCTGTATGCTGACGTCCGGTGACTCTGGGCTACGGAGCTGAATAGCAGCTTGTGCCGATGCCCGTGTCTCTACTATTACTTTTGCAACCACGATCGGACATAGTTTGGCTGCGGTCTGCGTCCGAGCAGGTCTTCACACGAAGTTGTCTGTGTGAACGCGGTTTCACCTTGAGCAGAGTAAGTAATATCGTTAGAACGACGATACATGTTTATCACATAAACCAAACTGTAAAACGTTTAGAGAAAATAACTAGAGGAGGAACTTTATAACGACTTAATAATTTTTACATAAAAATTTTACAAGAAAATAAATTATAAGGATTAATAAGCTTTATATGCATATATACCGTGTTGGGGGTGCGTATTGGGGTTACCATTGTCTGCCTCCTCCCTCTCCTACGCGTGTATTGTACACACCAGGATCTCTCACCCCCCATTCGGTACACACCAACCCCTCCCATGCACACCGCCGGTAACACTGCGCTCTGTACCCCCTCATATAGCCATTTTTTTAAAATATTTTTGGCGTAATTAATACAAAAAGAATGTTTAG